GAACACTAACAAAAAACACCAACTAACAACACAAAGGCCTCATCAGGGCCATTCCCGAGTGTCGGACTCCAACAGAGTAATGAAAATGACACTCGGGCACACAGGGGCCAACGACCCAAACCTAAAACACGACCTAATCAACACAACAACACAAAACATAACAGAGACAAACAAACACAAACAATACAAGATATCACACAAAAGCACAAACTAAGAGCAAAACAAAACAACATAAAATAAACAAGCCCCTCCTAAGCAGCAACAACGATCCAAACCATCGGAAACCAGTCAACCACGGATCCCAAAGCTAGAAGCATCAACTCCGAAACTGCCAAACCCACTCGGGTGCCTAACAAAGACGAAACCCCAACTCCGAAACCACAGCAGGCCAACAAGCACCACGACCACAACACCCAAGTGCCCCAAACAGGCAAAAGAATGCCACAGCCCTGTCCCGACCCCGAAACCGCCTGGGAGCTACCCGACCACCACCAATACGCCGCAACAACACTCCAAACAGTCTTGCTGAAGGAATAACTGTCATCGCAGCAGCCCCCATCGACCCGTAAAACGAGAAAAAAGGGAGATGGCCGTGAGTACCTTCACCGCTTAGGCCGCCCAGCAGAATCGCCGAGAAAGCAAGCAGTGTCCCGCCCCAGGAACCGCACAACGGCTCCACCACCACATGAGCTAGCAGCCCCCGACCGGAATTAACGAGCGGTCGCCGGAAAAAGAAAACCCACTCGCGGCCGAAGAGAGCTGGAGCCATGGAAAATGGGTAGTGAAGCGGTAAAGAAGGGGCGGGAACCAGACAATTGTGGGCCAGCAACCTCCGGCTAAGCTCGATGCGGGCAGAGGAGGGCGAAGCTGCTGCAAATTGAAGACGACGCCGAGTTTAGGGGGAGGGTTTCGATGTGTGAAGAAGAGTTTTATTAAAGGGAATTCAGTATCTTAACTTAACTTAACAAGAATTAATTAAAACATCTTTCAGAAAACATTGTTCAGAAATCCAGGCAATAATATCAATTATTCCAATAATGTCCCGTCCACAATCTCTGTTGTTGTATTCTAGACGTATTAGAGAGTGCGACGCAATATCCACAACGGAGATTGTGTGCGTGGCATTATTGGCGTAATTGATGTTATTAGTCAATTTTTGGAATTTCTTGAGTTGTAAGTAAATTAACAAAAAGTACTTGGACTTTTTGACACACCACTAATACGTAGGCACCTTAATCCTTCAGTTAAAATATCAATTAAAATAAGTTAAATTACATCTTTCAGAAAACATTGTTCAGAAATCCAGGCAATAATATAAATTATTCCAATAATGC